CCCCCCCCCCCATTCATCTGCGTCTCTACTTCGCGTGTCATTGTTATTAACGACCAATAAATTCTCGGTACATCGTTGCGGTGCGACTCGAATATCCGATGGATATCCGAAGGGGGTGAGAACCCGGCCGAGTATCGGTGTTGTGTGCGGGATGGATTACGGATGCCAGGAACTCGGGATTGTGCGGCGGTTATCGCGGTGATAACCGGGCACGATGAATATTCCCCGGCAAAAAGACTTTTGACGCTTTTGCCGCTTTTGACGCTTCCGGGACAAGCTAATAGATTCGAGCGCACACACGACGCGCCGGCGACGACGGCGGCGTTGGCTCCGTCTGCGCGACGGAGGCAAAAATTGACTTTCAGATTCGATAAGCCGGCGCAGATTTTCATGTAGGGGCTTCTTTTGAAACTGGCGCGCGCGCTTGGTCACCTTTAACCCCCGAAGCTTCTCGCGCGGCTGCATGCACGCCGCAATGCAGGCCCGTTACAAAGCAGGCGATGGGGGGGGACTCTGTAGTGGAACGAAATGAAAGCGGAGCCTGTCCGGACGAGCCGGCGATTTAGCCGGCCAGCCGGTTCTTATTCGCGAAATTTCGCGCGAACGTTCAACGCTTTTTTGCATCGTCGCGCTTCGCCCGCCGCCGCCTTTGATCGATCGCACGCCGAGACGAGGAGGGACCTCGCTGAGAGAGAGGAAGAGAGAGGGTGAATAATGAGCTCGTCGGAATTCATTCGTCGAGAAAGAGATGCACGTGAGAACGTAGAGGGGAAAATCCCGCCGCGGGAACAACAAATTTCGCGTGCCTCGAAACTACACTCGACACCGAACGTAATGCGCGCCCGCGTTCGAAATGCAACACCACACCGGGCAACGGCGCTCGTAACAGCCTGTAATTGCTCGTCGTGGGTGTTCATACTTTCACGCGAGACTTACGGCAAGAGGAGGAGCAGAAGAGGGTGGAAGGGAGGGACGGGAAGAGGTCATTGCGAGAGCGGAAACTCGTGCGGACCATCATCGTTTCTTTATTACCGTCAAAATTCCCCCGTAGCGGCGAAACGAGCCGCATTCACACGTGCCCGCGGTATTTGACAGGAAACCTGGAATGTATTGTAGCATGCGAGAAGCGAGAATTTAGGAGGACGAGGAGGAGGAACAGCCGCGAGGAGGAGAAACCGTGTGCGATCGTTAACGGTGTGCGTGCTTAAAATACCTGCGAAACCGGAAGGATTCCGGCAATCGAACTTTTGTACACGTGTACCGGTATACCGGGTGATCCCACCCTCCACCCACGCTCGTCGTAAATGCATCGTACGTGGCGCGTATGAAATTGTAACTTCATCGAAATGCCGGGCCCACAATTTCTCCGGGAGGGACGCGAAAATCTCTCGTCGCTCTTTTCTTCTTTTTCTCTCTCTCTCTCTCTCTCTCTCTCTCTCTCTCTCTCTCTCTCTCTCTCTCTCTTCCTCTTCCTTTCTCTTTCCCTTGGTCTCATTTTTCCTAAAGCAATTACGTAGGGAGAGCGAGTGACCTCTTTGAATCTCATCGGAAACAATAGGGAGAATCTTAACTTGCAAATCTAAGAAGACGAAAAGTATTGTTTAATTATGATTGCAGCGAACTCTCGGAGAACGACGTAGTAATTATGTAGGGAAATTGTATCGTTATGCGAAAGAACGGAAGATAATATTTTATATTAAAGCACATCTCGCGCGCGCGAAAGAGCGGCACAATACCGAGGGAAAGAACAGTTCGGCTCGCGATGTATATATATATATATATATATTAAGGGTGCCCTTTTGTGAAACGGGAGGAAAATCGATCTTACGTGGATTCAATCGCGAAGCACTCGAGGAATAATTTTCTTTCCTTCGTCCACTTCGATCTCGTTCGAGCGCCGCCGGATGCTTCCGTAAGAAAAAGAGAGGAGCGACCCGTTTCAACCCTTCCGTGAATTCCTGAAGAATCCTCTTATCGGGAAGATAACCGTGCGATATTCTTCCGGCTGTAAAGGGGTGTAGGAAAAGCGCGACTTTAATGGAAATAAGTCGTATATAAATTGTATCTCAAACTATCGATCCGTTTGTCCGTTTATCCGTCGGTCCGTCCGTCGAAAACGCCCTCTTCCTCTCTCTCTCTTTCGCGCGCGCACACGCGTGCGAGAACCGAAATTACCTCGACGTATTCGATATTGTCGATTGCCCAAGATAAATGCGGCGAGATTAACGCAAATGGCACCTCCGCACCGGTGAGATAATTCACGAGAGAAAAATCATGAGACAGCAAGAAAAACGCACACACATTCGTACATACACACACATATATATCTTTATTCTTTTATCTTTCTTTATTACTTTGAATCCTGGAGTTTTTTTCGGTCGCAGAGTTACCGCAATCGCATGATACGTACACACGTGCACACGCATGCACACACGCACACACACACGTACACACGGTGAAAGATAGATTCGCATCTTCGCGCTCACACGCACGCATACCAGGCACACGTGCATATACACATACGTACACGTACATATACATATCTTTATTTCTTTGTCTGACCATTAATCGCAATCCGATCGTTTAATTATACAGTTCCGCCCTTTAAACGGGCGCCCGCCTAATTGGGCGCGCGACTCGAGACTTCACGATATACGCGGAGGTATTGTATTACGCACACTCTGAAAAAATATCGGCGCTGTACATCGGAGCATATATCTTACAAATTACGAAGGGGGCGTATACGAAGGAACGCTCACGTTACGTCACGACTTTCTTCGCGCTCGTCGACCGATGACGACGGCGACGACGGTCGATAACGGATTACGTTGCACGTTAATTAACGTTAGTAATATCAATTAGAATCGGGAAAAGAGAAGTGATATACAATTTAAAAAAGAAATAAAACGAAAATCGTCACAATTAAAGGAGAAATTAAAGATACGATTGGCGCGACGTAATAATCCCGAAAATTCCGAGCGGTTCTACTTAAGGCGAGGAGAATTCGCGCGCTAGGATCATTATCCTCCTCCTTTCGCGTGTACCGCCGGCACGGTACCGCTCAATACATTTCCCTGGTAGAACGTACCTCGTAATGCCGTTAACGGATCCGTCGATAACGATCCTTCGTGCCTGTTCCGTCGTCCCTCGAAGAAGACGTAGGGGGTTTAACCTCGGGCATCTCTCGCGAATAAAGTCTCTCTCTTTTCTCGATGTCCTTATATACAGGGTATTTACACTGTCTCCGCCGCGCGTAAACGCTACGAGGATCGATGTATGTGTATATATGTGTGTGTGTGTGTGTGTGTGTGTGTGTATTTCTAAGATGTACACGCGTGTACATTTGTACGGTGCACAACGTACAGCGACGCGCGAAAGGTACTATTTCTCCGATCGCTCTTCGTTATTTCTCGACGAACTTAATGAAAATGAATGCGACATGGCAGTCGTGCGGGAGTTGTGCGCGTTTTGGCAGTCCCGGGACACAGGTTTGTCCGGAGGATTTCGTCGTAAAATAACGCACGTCACGTCAGTCTATTTCGTAAAGGGATCGGCGGGGAGCGAAGATAAATCGGCCGCTAAACGATGAATTATATCGCGTTTAGTGTGTCGCGCGACTCGATGTGAACCTGTGCGGAGGCCCCCACGCACGCGCGCGAGATCCGCATCCGTAAAATTATTATCGCTCTTATTATTGGAATAAGTCATCTCTCCTCGGGCGTATTTTCGATCCAGCCTCGGGCACTTCCCCTCTAATGATCTGATGATACGTGCGATCGCAAGCGAGAGCTCGTCGACGATGCAAAAGTCGATAACCGATAATAAAAAAGAAAAAAAAAAGAAAAGAACAGAGTATTATTCAAATTGCTTAATGCCAATATTCCAAGAGAGAGAGGAAAAAGGAAGGAGTTTAAGCTTTAATTAAGTTTCGAGTAACACTGCGCGATATAATTCGGATCGTTCGCGGGCCGCTTTTAATTTAACGACGCGCTGCAACGTTATTGTCTCTGTTCACGGTACGAATGACGATCCCGTCGCAAACTGTCCTCCGACCGAACTCAAATTTAATTACGAGGATAACGCGCGGTTGCTCGCCGCTAGTGAACGATGCGCAATGTACAAGGTACGTTTGTTTAATTAATATACATATCTTCGAAGCGCAGAGCACGCCCTCTCTCTCTCTCTCTCTCTCTTTCGATCAGCGCACACGGTAATTTCGATAATTAATCTAGATTTATTCGGTGTCCTCGCGTACGAGGAGTAGTCGCTATTTACAACGTTCTCACACACGCGTAACCGGGACATCGGTGTACGTCAGGTATACGTCTTGAAGGAAAGTCCTCGCGCGCGTTTCGTTTGGTTTCGGGCGCGCGCGAGAAACACATCGACGCGAGAAACGTTCCTGGCGCGTTCGCACGCGCGTCGGATAAGAAAAGCCGTACAAATAGACTAGAGAGATGTAAAACGATGGAAAGGTAACGAACGGCTTCGGCGGTCGGACGCGCGCCGGAAGAGATCGATAGTCGCTTATTTTATAGCCGGCAAATTTACTCTCGCCTCGTAAGTTCCCGCGTGCGCGCTGCCTCTAAGTAAGTCGGGCTGAATGTGCGGCCGAGTTTAATTAATCAGTTGACATCGACGCGCGACACGCTGCGAGTTTCAACTTACATACGCGGTGGAATTTTCACGCGTCGTCCGCGCGCTGCAATTACACGCGTGTCCGTGCGTGTGGAAGATCGATGAATCGATCGTCGAGGCGCCATTGGCCGATTAATTACTTCGTTACTTCCCTGATAATTAATTTGTGCACGATGCCGCGCGGGGAACGGATGAGCACGACGCCGATGTTTTACACGCCGCACTTGTTTCCCTTTGTGTCGGGTCGCGTCGAGTCGCGTGCGGAAATATTTGGGGGATTTTCCGCGGAACAAGTCGATCTCCTCCGTGCGCGGATCCGCCTCTCGCTCTCCTCCCCTTCCTCGCGGAATTGATCGTTGCACTTGATGCGACGTAATCGACACGATACGACACTCCCGAGTGCGCATATCGTCGATAAAGACGCGCTATTCCGCGAAAATACACTCAACGCAACGATCTCCCTTTATCCCCGGTACCTACTTTGTAATACAAAGTATACTCCACGGGATAGAAAATCTACATTCGCCGTCGCGCGCGACATAGGTACATCGATCTCGCCGTCCTCTGCGCGCACGCCGTACGAACACCAGCGGAGTGCGCGGGGAACCTACGTTTTTAGACGTGTTCCCTTCCGCCCCATCGGCCGTGCAGTCAATCGGCGGGATCTTTCACGGCTGAATATATTCGCGGAGTCTTAGCCGATATTCCTTCTCTCTTCCTCTTTCGAATCAGAACGATTACGCGGGGTATTCTCGTGCTCGAGCGAATTCGCCTCGCCCCGATCGATAGCGCGGTATGTGTATATGTGTGTGTGTAATCGAGATACTTTTTACTACGATATAAAAAAGAATTTCATGAACTTGTTCCGAAATCCAAAAGAGCCTCTTCTTCCCTTCCGGGGGAAGCTTTCGGTTAGGATCGATCGGTTCGTTTCTGTCAGGCGTGCTCCTCTTCCGCGCACTATCGCGGTTATCTTGTCTCTTACCTGGTTTTCATCTCCGTATGACAAAGCGCGTCCTGTCAGCCGTATTCCCTGTAAATGCGAAACACAATTCGAATCGAACGAGCGCGCGTTCGCTGTGTTTAGGTGGCAGTCGTGGGTATTGGAGTCGTTATCTCTCGATACGTATTCTTTAAAATTATGATTCGGTCAGTCTTGAACTTTCATAGATCATCGGCTGCTGTCTCGGCAAGAGGTCGCGAGAGGACCGCCGCGTGTTCTCGAACTGTGTTCCGCGTAGTCGTCTTGGCTGTTACGTTTCTCGTTACCGTATGTCCTCGGGAACATTGAGCGAAGCGCGGCAACCCGATCGTTCTCCGCGGTCGTCGTGTATTCACGGTCATCGTCCGGTTAGTAATAGTAATAGTAGCAGCAATATCAGTGGTCTCATCCTCGGCGCAAGGTCTCTCTTTCCACCGCGGCCCCGCGTCACTCGCGCGTACCCGGGAACGAAACTCGCGAGATTCATCCGGTCAGACGTATCCTTCTTCTGGAGCTCGAGGACGTTACTCGGAGCCGTGGTAGCAGCGGTAAGTCCTGGGAATCCGTCGTCGGTTTTGGGACGCGCACGATCGCCACGAGGCGGCCATATCAGACGTAGTACTCGTTGACGTTGAGCGCGTCGGAGTCGCGTCCCTATACGCAACTCTCCTGGGTCGAGATGAGGGGCGTGCGGACAGTGACGACCTCCCTCGCCGGATGGTGCTGCTTGCCGCCGCTCATAGTGGAGACGGTCGAGTCCTGGAGCACGCCCGCCGTCGACAGGGGGGTCACCGCGCACGACGGCGCGTTGGATACCTCCATCTTGCCCGGCCTCGCGTTGTGGTCGATGCACGCGTATACCGTCGCCTCTTTCGCGTACGGCTTGCCGCCCACGATCACCCCCAGACCGCTGCCGTAACCCTGAAGACCACCCAGACCGCCGACTCCGCCGAGGCTCGCCAATTTGGCGTCGGTCGCCAGGGTCGACAGGGTGGTGGGCCTCGCCAGGCACAGTTCCGCGTACGTCACCTCGCCGGACAGCTGGAAGAAGGAAAATCAGGACACGCTACACAAAAACCGTCGGTACCGGTAGCAGGGACAGAGGAGTCGTCCAGGAAACTGCTGAGAGGGATCCTGAAAGAGTTATCCAAGGAATCGGATTATACACACACACACACACTGCAACGACGACCCTTGCCACTGACATCCTGTCTTCCTCATAAGGGCTGTAACGACATGAGATTGTTTATTCCGGAGCGATGGGCAGGCTTTAAATCGGGTTCACGGCGGTTCTAAGTCGCTAAAACGTTACCCGGAGACGTAATTACGCAGATTCCTGCGGGTACTTGACTTCGTATTAACAGCGGCGGTGTAATACGAGCAACAGGCTCTCTCGCTCTCTCTCGCACCGATAATGTGAAGTCATTAAGCCTTTCGCGGCAAGGGGGATCTCTAATAGCGTGAGTGGATGTTCGGGAACGCGGCCGCGAGAGCTCCTTTCTGTCTGGCTCTAGCCGAACGGGGTTCATTGAATCGTACGATGATCGCTGAGTCCTACATGAGCCTCGAATCCGATTATGGACTGAGCGCGTGTATTGTTTCGATCGATCGAATCGGCCGTGTATTACGCAACAAGTCCACTCGGATGTCTAATGACACGTGGGGAACAGGAGATTAAGCTAATTTCGATACATTAGCGTGTTGAGTTATAGATGTTGTGCGTGTGGCCGCGCGTGTGTGGCGCTATGCGGGCGCGCGCAGCGTAATCCGCCAAAGTAAATGCAAACCAGTTACATACACGCCTGCGCGCGCGCGCTCAGCCGGCATTTAAATAATCCGCTTGAAGCCGAGAGACGCGGCCAACTTCTCCGAGATAGGACCGGAGCCTTTCTAAGAAACTGGAGGTAGTTTTCGCGGGACTTCGGGGGTACGGAAGGCAGGGAGGGGGGGGGGGACGTTTCTCTCTAGTCCCCGGGACTTAGATAATGCGGACAGGTCTAACTTTCGGAATTTTCATTCCTGAATATTCCTGAGGGACCGACCGCCCGGTACTAGTTGGCTCGTATCACGGAAACTTTTGACGGCGCGCGTTCCTTCGACTGTTTAGGACGAGAACGGCGGCTCTCGAGTGCCCGCGCGCGCCATTTCCTATAAATTGGACGCAAAACAGCGCGGGGAATGTTCTCCCGGAGAACGCGCGCGCGAGGACGACGTGCGGCAGACACACGTTGGCTCTTTTGTCTTTGGAACGGATTAACGCGAAAGGCGAGAAACGCTCGAGCACCGTCGTAGATTCCGTCCCCGCGGAGAAAACGGAGCTCTCGGCCGCCCGTCTTATTAGAACACTTATATTTTTCAACCCTTCCTTTTTCTCCCCCTTAGCATATTCTCCGGAACTTCGCGAAACTCCGACGAATCTCCGGCGGGCACTCCGGATCGCGAGAAATTTTTGAAGTCGGCGTTCGCCGCCGCTACTGGCTGTTGATTCCGGCGAAGAATCCGCCAAATCCGGCGGAAAAATCGGTACAATAAGAAAATGCAAAAAAAAGAAAGTGGGAAGGGGAGAAAAAGTGAGAAGAGGAAAAAACGCAACAATTAACCATAAGGCGGGTAAATGGAACAGGAAAATCCTTAGCGATAATCAAAGTTTTCCACTCCAGAGTCTTGTTCTTGCCGAGGTTTCGCTAACGGAACTTTAGATCCCCGCAGTAATTAGCAATTAATTTGGTGTGAAATTGAGGGTGAAGTTTCAGTGGCTCGTGACGAAAGGAGCTCGAGAGGATCAGGGAAAATCTGAAAGAGGGTATACCTATACCCCGTGCGGAGGAAGGCGGAACAAAAGGGCGCGAGAGGGTGCGTTTTAATTCGTGTTTGTCGCGCGACGAATAATCACGTAATTACGAGCTCGTAAATTTATACGTCGCGATTCGTCGCCGAGGAGCGATTTTTCCCGTGACTGGGAGGAATCGCGGCGTTCGGTGAAAGCGTGCACCGCGTGCAGTCTTAACGTCGGAATCTCTCTTTCTCTCTCGTCGAGCGACCTCGGAGTGTCTCTCAAAATCGGTAGAGAAGACGCGGACAGCGCAATTTTCTACTTTCGAACTGCGAAGAAGCGTTGCTTTCCGGTTGAAACTTTACGCAGCGCGCGGCCACCGCCACCATTCCCCTCGGACGGATACTGTTATTTCAAACTACACCGCTCGAGGACTTTCTTGAAAACGTCAGCCCCCGAGCTTCTCTCGAGCACGGAAGGAAAAGGGAAGGACGCGACAGTAACAACGGGAGCGCGATTCGGCCGAGGCTGCCTCGTTCCCGTTTCTTTGCACTCCACTTCCTCAGTTTCCCATCTCATTGGATGAACCTATTAACTTTATTAAAACGCCCCGCCCGTCGGACTAACGAAATTCCCGTGATTTAAACCATCGACTTTAATTGTTTGAATTCCTCTTTGCTGCGAACGCCAACGTACTGCATTCACTTACGTTTCGTGAAATCAGAGCGCACCCATTTACATGTAATGGCTGGTGCCGCCTGTATACATATACGTGCGCGTGTGAATGTACGTATGTGTATATACCGCGAGTGTGCCGAGTGCGGGGCAACAAAGTATAATTTAACAAGGAACCTGAAGGGAATTGTTGGTTTGTCGGAGAATTGCCTTTTGCGTGTATGCGACGATTATTTGTCTCTAAAGTATTTCGCACAACATACCATTCAGCTCCAGCGTGCGCGTTACCCAACATACACAGGTATCGCTTAACCAACAATCTCAATTAGTCCCCGTCAATTAATATCGAAATGAAAGCAGAAATTAAATGAGACAAAGGAACAAAGTGACACACATGCGACAATTTATTGAAAAGAATTACATTTACAATAGAATTACGTACAGAGGTCGCAGAAGACACGGCGTGGAATTAACGGACGGCGGCGAGCCGAGACGGATAGAGGAAGAGCGGCTGGAGAATGGGTAGTAAGAGTCAACGTTTGGTCGGCCGCTCGTTCTCTCCGTCGCGGCCGGGCCCGGGGAAATTAATAAATTTCATTAGCGGAATCTCCGCTCTCGCGGTACTCACCGGCAACGTCGGGTAATTGTTGTAGTCGTTATGCGAATAGGCGGGAAGTCCTTGCAGGTGATTGTTCGTCTGCTGGGCCGGAAGGGACGACGGCGGAAGACCGTCCGGTGTGTTTTGCGTCGCTAACGGCGTGCCGGACGTTGACCCGGTCAGCTGGTAATCTGAATCTTTCGTTTCATGCACACGTGAAACATCTCCGTTTCTCTCTTTCCGCCGTTCGAAAAGTTCGCTTCTTCGCGAACGCTCTTTAGAGACACTAATTAATAGACACCAGACTTATCTCGCGCGTGAACACGAGCTTTTCGAACGCTCCTCGCGCTGTAAAACACGAGGGAGGCGCGTAAAACATTCATTTCGTTGAACATTCATCGGGTGCTGTCAACTACGCTTCCGGGGATTCTGTATGATTCATCGAAAGAAAACCGCCGAACGAGTACTTATTTATGCCTCGTTAAACCCAATCTAATCATTAATATAACGAGCCGACGCGCGCCAAACTTTGTGCGCGCATTAAACCGATAACTACAAGGCATTACGAATGTATGGATAACACGGGGCTCGATTTGTCGACGGAACGAGAGTGTTGATACGATACGTTGATTAAATAGTAATTCGCGACTAACCGTATAGTTCCGGTGGTAATTAAATAATTAACTAAGTAACGCGGCGCGGGCACAGAGAGTAATTTTATTTATTAAATTAACACTCCATATTTCCTTCCTTCCCTCCCTCCCTCCCTCTCTCTTTCTCTCTCTCTCTCTCGTTTATCAATCGATTCGTCCCGCATTTTGGATCTGAATATGAACAGATAGCGCGCTCGATTATTCACGAGAAAATGACGTCCGCGCTTGACGATTCAGAGCTGTCATGAGCTCTAGATGAACTTTCAGATCGGTATTAAAATAAAAATATCACTATCCGGACACATATCTAAACATGGACATTCTTATTATTGTTTTGATCTTTAAATATGAATATTTAAACATTTAATGTAGAATATATAGGAGGTCCCGGGCAAACAGGGACAAATTTCGTAAAGGCTTAGAACGAATGGAGATGAATAAAAAAGCACTGCACCATTATGCAAACAATATACAAAATTTCGAATTATTAATTATTGAAAATGACCGTGTACAAAGAGTTCTTTAATCAATAACTCGAAATTTTGCGTGCTGTTTGCAAAATACAGGGTTTTCTCGGTACACATATTATGTGTTGGATGTTTAGATATTCGTATTTAAAGACCAAAACATTAAGAATGTTGAGGTTTACATAAGTGTCCGAGTATCGATACTTTTACTTTTTATCTCATTGCGAGAGAAAGAAAAGTCCCGAAAAGGCGCAGGCCAAAAACTGAAACGACTCTATTTCGCATTATGAAAGATCTGCGATTTCTTGTCGCAGTTGCGACAATTCCTGAATTACAAACGGCAAAGGCTACTCGACTTGATCGCGTTCACGCGACCATTCGAACGTTGCGTATCGGATATACATCGGATTCGCAATAGCGTGCCCGGTGAACAAGTCCGCCTGGTAATCGGCCGAGTAATTTATTAACAAGTTGCGGGTTAAGTTCTCTATACGTCGACCCTCCCTTCACCCGTCCCGCCAACCACCCGTTAACCGTTCGCCAACGCGGAGCGATGGTATTATTGCGAGCGACGTAATGACGCATAGCATAGCGTAACGTTTGCGCGATGCCGTTAACGAATCGCGGCTGCGCTCGCAATAGAGTCCGCTGAATTTCCGGTCTCGAGTACACTCGCCCGGCCGAGTGTTCTCGATCGCTGTCAATCAGATATTACGCTTGAAAGCCGACGGCGGCGACGGCCAATGTAGCTGATAAAATTTCCGTCGAGCCGATCGTCACGCGGCCTCGGAATCGCGACGTTAACCCTGTCGGTCCCTCCCGCCCGCCCTTCTTTCCTCTTTTCCTTTCTCTCGTGCGTAAATGGAGCGCTCTCATGTTCGAATGTACGCGATTTCCTTGAATGTTGTCTCAGATTAAAAGAAAATAGAAAGTAACTACGACCTCGGCAAAATAATGTTCATAAAGTGAAGAACTGTAATCTTATTTTTGAGCTCTTCTGAAAAATTCGCAATTTAAATGTTTTTCTTCATATTTAAGATTTGTTCTTGCTTGAAAAAAAATCTGGGATATCCCAAGATAAGATATATTGCAATGTAGCTCAACTGGACTCAAATATTGATTTTTCTTCATTTATTTCATTTCATTAAACGCGCTTTCGAAGAAAGAAAAGAGAACAAAGTTTTTACTAATCTGCGAACCGTCTAAGCGAGCTCAAGCTGTTCTTGAGAGCGTCAAAGTAGCATTAAAAAAATCGGGAGATATAATACGTCCCGTAGAAAAATCAACGAATCGATAGGATCGCGAGCGTTCGTTGAGATCCTCTTCGAGAACGCTCGTTCGGTAAAAATTCGGAATTTGTTTCGCATCGTCACAAGCCAGAGTGGCGTGTGTTCGCGCTGCGCGCTCGTCCTTACAGCACGCGCAGAGCGCGTTCGTTTGAAATTTTCAGGACGAGCACGCGCGCGCGCGAGTATGTCGATCGACATATCACGCGACGTGTGCGCGTACGCGCAGCAGCGTTATTCGTGTACCAGCGACGTTGCGTTACCGTACGATTTACGCGGTCAAATAATTTCGTACATTGTCCGAATTTTCCCAACCGTGCGCTTCGCAGTCGGATATGTTATGCCGTATGTCCGCGATGGGAGCTTTCGGGGATTTTTTTTTCTCGTTTTATTTATTTATTTACGCATTTCCCGCCGGTTTAGAGTTCGGCGCGCCCGTCGAACGACGCGAACGCGTTGAACGATCGGACGGCGCAAAACCGCCCGCGCGGCGCAACCGGAACTCGGGATTTTACTCGACGCGACCGTTTCTAATTTTTCCGGAAACGCTCTCTTTGAACATTGACGTTTACGTTCTTTCGGTTTTCACTTCTTGCTCTCTCTCTCTTTCTTCCCTTTTCACTCCAATCAATCCACGTCCTCCTGTGTGCTCTCGCGTGCGCGCAAAAAAGTCGGTCTTGGCGGACGCACCTTTGTTGGTCGGCACGACGTCCGGATTCCTGTCGTCCGCGTCGTAAAGGTCCTCGGAACTCGGCGCGGTGGCTTTCTTCAGAGGTAAATCTCCGGGCCTTTGAGCTCGTCTCTCGCTCCGCATTTTCAGCGCGGCCAGAATGGTGACGGTGACGAGCAACAGCGCGGTCACCACGCCGATCAGACCCCCGAGCAGCGGGGTGAACTCGAAGGGTACCGGGGTACCTGTGAACAAAACGCGCACTGCTCTCGTGCAAGTACGTCGGTACAAGTCTCGTCGCTGCGTTACTCCCTCCCGTACGCGGCGATAGAAAATCTCAAGTTAAAAAAAAATCGCTCTCTTCAATTTTTCTTCGAAAAAAAATAAAATGAAAAATCTGCGGAAAAATTTGAGAAACATGAAGTTTGCCGATTTGTTTCATTTATCCGCGAGAAGAAACCGAAAAACTCTGCGGAAAAATGTAAAAAAAAAAACGGTTTATTCCGAGCCTTTAAAACTGTATTTCGGTCGAATTAAAATCGCGACAGGACACGTGGCGTTGGCGGATAATCGACGCTGCGCGAAGACGCAATCGTGTGTACCGGCTTCCGCTCGACGTCTGTCGTGGTGCGCGCGAAAGCGTCAGCTGCGCCGTCGCGAGGAAAAGATACGGCGGAATTTTCCGAGCGGACTGCGATGGTAAACGGGTTAAACGAGTTAAAGTCGCATTACGTCGTAAAAAGATTCGAGATATTTGGCTTGCGCGCGAGAATGGAGCCATCTGACTACCCGGGCCATTTCTAAGATTAATGAATTCGAATCCTTTTGATATCTCTCTCCACGTTAAACACCGTCCCGGGCGACGTTTAATTTTCCGCGCGGCCGTCTTTCTCCCGCTGGCGCGCTCCCTCCCGTCTTCTCCGTCGCGCTCGCTCGCTCTCCCGCGCCGCGCGCTATCGTTTCGCCGCGCGTCCCCGTTTTTTAATCTCTTTCCTTAGCCCGGGCCCCTTCTGAGAGACATCGCTCGTAATTGCCACTCGTTTTAGTCACGAGCGACCGAGTGTTTTTACTACGTGCTCCGATGCACAGCCAAAGTGTACGTTAATTTTTAATCAAGGCGAAAGTGCACCGGTGTCCGTGATATTCACCTGCCATCTCTGCCTTCCTTCGTCACCTCCGCTTTTTAAACTATCCTTTTAAATTGGTCAATTTTTTTTAGTGACGCCGCTCTTTCTCGCCCGACGCCCCGTGTCGTTTCGCCTCCTCCCTCTCTCTCTCTCTCTCTCTCCTGTTGTAAAATTGTTAACCCTTAGACTGCGAGCCGCTCGTAAGAGCAAGACGATCGTTGCCCGTGTCTCGGCGTCATACTTCCTCCTAACTACTCGATTTCTACCCCTGGCCGCTTCGTTGTGACGCTTCGGAGACCAACTCGTGCAGATACGAGTCAGTCAGCCGGAGGATCACATGTTAATTGTGGCGGTGCCGACGAGAATTCGATATTTAATATTATTAATATATTTCAAGGGAGATAATATATTTTCGTCACTCGTGAGGGAGTTGTAATTCGCCGGCTCGTGACGTCATTGACCCTCGGCCGTGCTAAGGTACGCAACGCGCGAGAATACCGAAACAATGAGGGCGAGAAATGTAAACTTCTCCCCCCCTTCCATCAATTGTCAACCGGCGCCGCTTATCACTGAATGCCGAGATCATACAATCAAAACATCCCGGACCTTCAAGAAGGTTGAACGTACCCCTCGCGCACCGCACGTTTTCCCATTACATCTCGAGTCGGCGAGCGATACACGTATACACGGAGTGCATGTGTCGATGTGTTATTTATAATTCGCGTCGATTGACTGGAATATTTCGGGCTCTCGTCGCGTTCATTAATGTGTGCTTATCGAATCTATATATCTGCGTGAGTGTCAGTGTTAGTGCTACGACGAAGCAGCCAAGAAATTAGATTAAAGAGGCAGGAGAGCGCAGGACGTCGAGAATATATTGAGATAATCAAATGTGTTAAATAATCCTTGAATGGGTGCCTGTTCGAACTCCTTTAACATCAAAAAACCAATAAGCAACTATTTGCAGCTTCAACAGCTGTACGTTGTATTTTGAGATTCTTCATTGAAATTTGCAGAATCAACGTAGAACTAAAGTTTCGACCCGGGATATGACGTGAGGATATATTATATCAAGTCGAACGTGAAACTAACATTAGTCATTACGATGCAGCATTTCCGTGCGTTACGATATTAACAAATGAGAACGCCTAAAGACGTTACTCGCACATGAGTATCGTGTTGAGTGTCGAACGCCTGTAGATACTGTTCGCACATAGCGAAGACCTTCGTCGAACGGCTGTAGGTATCGATTCGCAATCTAAGGGTTAAGCGACGCGAGAACGTGTCCGTAAATCTTTCACGTCCGGATCTGTCCCTGGTCGCGCATTGAACGGGAACACGAAGTTCATTGTCGATCACGAGGATCTCGATTCGAAGTTATGGACGAAATGAAACGCGAAACCGCGAGACGAAGGAGTCGTCAATCTTGTGTCTTCTTCTTGCGGCCGTCTTCTTCTTCCCCGGTAATTAACGAACACGGGGCTAGAGGTCACAGAGCGGAAAGAAAATGACAACTGCAGCGGCATTCGTTCGCGCGGCACGATCGTTCATCGTCCGCTTTTTTTCCCTGCGTGGAAATCGGGTGGAACTGGATTTGGAAAAGCTCGACTTGATTAAATCGTTATTTTTAATTCGCAGGACGCGCGTTTCATTCGCAGCATCGCGCTGCTCTCTCTCACACACACACACACACACACACACACTGTCGCTCGCGGGATATTCGACTCCCCGCGGTGATGATCGTTTTACAAAATCATACTCGACTAGTTACAAACAGAAGTATCGCGTTACGCCGAGTATCGATAATACCACATACATATGGAACAAATTATGTTTTGTCTCGCATCAAACCGTGTTTATTTTCCGCGACACGGGAGAGAACTTTTAATGCGCGCTCGTGCTGGCAATATTTATCGAATTGTACGCGCGACGCGCACACCGGGCCATAGTCGCGAGCCAGAAGTACCTCCGCATCGCGCAAAATTCGGCGCTCGAACGCCCTCTCTCTTGGTTCGAATTTTGTTTCTTCTCCCTCTCTCCCACCCTCCCTCTCTTCTCTTTTTTCCCTATTGCAATCGGTCGAATTAAAAACGGGAGTTTTAATTCGAGCTCTCCATGTATACTCGACTCTTCGATATTTTTACGTCGTACAGCCGCGTTTGATTCGTACGAGAGAGAGAGAGAGAGAGAGAGAGGAGGGGATAGTCATTCACGGCCCGTTCGCGGTCCAAGTCGCCTTCTCTCTCTTACACACATGCACCATGTCATATCCGCTACGTATAATTTGCGTTTCACGCGACTCGGCGTATCGGACTCGCCGAGAGATGACGGGCCGAGATTTCAGGAGCACGTTCCCCTGTCCTGCTCCAGTTAGCATAGCCGCACGCGCGAGGTCGGGGGTCGTCTGTGGGATCGAAGCGGACGTTCGTCTCTCTTCTCCGCGCTTTCTGCGGCGCGCGCTTCGTTCTCTCAACCCGCTTGAACGAGGTTCGAGGTGAGACGAGGTGCACGATGCCGCACAGGCGACGTAGTAGGTGGTCCGGGAATTTTATTAAAGTTTCACACTCGTCCAGCTCTCTCTCTCTCTCTCTCTCTCGCGGCAAGAGAGGGATCGATTTTCGAAGCGACTACTTCGCCCGCATACGTATGCCGGTTTATACACCCCCGCATCAGGGACTAAGCGTGTACATATACGTAGTGGGCGCACTCGCTTGAATCGCACCGTGGAAACTGACCGAGAGAGCAATTTCACTTGTAAATTCGTCCTGGTCCGATACACACACACACACACACGCATGTATACGTGCGCGTATATACGTATACGAACGCACGAACGCGTGGATGTGCGCACGTAGATATGTGGGTGCGCATGTACACCCGGATAGGTGGGTCGGTATATCCGTTCCGAGGTGGATCCTGAATCTCTTCTGGTCGGTGGAGATCCTACCGGCTAGAAATCTACGGGATGAGCGCGCAGGAGAGGAACGGATCCGACGAGATCCATTTTGCTCTCGGGCATCTATGGGCACCGCCGAGAGAGAGAGAGAGAGAGAGACTCCCAATCGCGTTCCCGCCGTCTGCGTTTCTTCCTCCGAGCGCCCGTGGCGCGCGGGACTCGTTCCCTTGTTTCCACCGTACACAGCCGGGGNNGGGGGGGGGGGGGGGGTCTCATCGCGAGACTTCGAACGCGAACAAAGAGTATACGGGAGTGCGTAAATTTTCGCGATGAAGACGCCGAAGAGGAGGCGACGGCGCCGACTCGCCGGCATCAATCCTCGACGTTTTTACGAGCGGTTGTATCGCATTTTATCTCTTTCTCTCCGCCAACGTATTACCGGAACGCGCGCGCAGCGTTATATCGCTCGCGGGAATCGAGAGAGAGTTTCGCGTCTCGCTCGTAGATCTTTCTCGCTTTCGTAATTACAGGTGGACGGCGGGATTAATTCTCGTAATTACTCGCGATATACCTGTCTCTGACTGGCGCTTTGCAAATATTTCCTTCTCCGGTGGGATGAAATTTCTCTCCGTCCTTAGCAAGACATCTTCTCCTTCCTCCTTCCCCTTTCTACCACTATCTGCCCCCCTCCCTTTTCCTGCGTCTCTCTCTCTCTCTCTCTTTCCTATGCTCGCCGCGGTCCGCCGCGGCGGGACATCGGATCGAGAAAATAAGCCGGGGGCACGCCGGTTAAACGAGCCACGTCGACGTTCGTATTTTTGTGGAGAAGCGGAAACGGTCCCGCGCCGGGAAAAATCTGGGTGGCCGTTTTACGCACCGGCGGAACCGCAGCGCAATTTTTGGCCGTTTCGTGTAAGTGGATTGGAAAACGTCGGAATAGATTACTACTCGTGGCGGTTCTGTTCCGTAGAACAATCACCCACATCTACTCGCACGTCTGTACTCACACACATACACATGCACACGTGACCTGGACACCAACTTGCGTAATATGCGGCGCAGGTGAGCACATACACCTACGCGGGTGTGTATGTGGGCGCGAGCGCACGTTTGCGCGTGTGTGCCCCGTCGATTGAATTTCTCGACCCAGATGCTCAATTTTCGCGGTGAAACCTTTCGTATGGTCCAAGTGCTCTTTAGCCGCGAGAAACGATGAGGCGGTATATCGGGCTCGTCGGGGATTCCCGGCCGGATGAGCGGATTAAAACGTTACACGGACAATCCGCGCGGGTCCGTTCGATTTAATTCGCTAATTCGATTAACCCGGCGTCCCGGCCGCTCTCATAATTTATGGGGCCGGCGTTCGCGCCGATAGTTGGCGAACGCGCATGCTCCCCTGTCGAATTACTTATTTCGGCCATCCGCGAATGCGACCGAGCGCGATCGCACGCGTCAGGAGAGAGAGAGAGCGGCCGAGATCAAATCGGTCCGGACGTTGTCGATCATCGTTACGCTCCACGGTCGAGAACGCTCGAATTCGCACGACGTTGTTTGTATTTCGCTATATCTGTTATATACTTTAGCAGTTTAGGCCAATGTGAACGGAAAAGTCCTTCGCCATTTTGCAAATAAACCACGTCAATTTGTTCTTTACTTTTTTTTTCCACGTGCGAATATTTGCCTCGTACATTTTTCATTAATAACCCCAAAATTCACGTGTTTCGCAAAATGGTAAAGAATTTTTTATCCACATTGACTCAAACTGCAAATATGTAACGGATATGACACACGCTGAAAAAATGATTCGGCAATAATTACCAAAATTTGGTGAAATAGTTTCAAATAAATAGTTTGGTTGCGGTAACCAAACAATTTGATTGAAACTATTTAACTAAATCTTGATAATTGTTAGCAAATTTCGTTTTCCAGCGTAGCAACAGACACGCTGTATAACTGGGAGAGAGATGGGCAAAGGGGGGCAAATTCTCTCGACGGATCGCCGCGAGTGCTTTCTTCCCCGAGTCGCGCGTCTCGGCAAGTTCACGTCGCGTCAGAGATCGAGAATTTCCGCGAACGTTTCGGCGCAATCGCAATGTTTCTGGCACAACTTACCGGTCTGCTTCTCGGCGACTTTGAGCGTGAAACCCTCCAACAGCGTGGAGTCGCTCCTACCCTTGGCGTTCACCGCGTACAGTATCATATTCAGAACCTTGCCGGGCTCGAGACCCTGCACGGTGAAAGCCGCGTTCTCTCTGGACGTGACGTTGGCCTGCAGGACCCCGGTGTGCTGATCGAACACTTCAAGGAGGAAGTGTTGGGGCTGACCACCGTCAAAACCAGCGGTGCATTCCACCGAGAGTGATTCGGTGGTCTGGTTGGTCAGCGTGCAGTTGTACGGAGCTTCCGGTTTGCCTGTACGCGCCATTAACATTGTTTACAATCTCCCCCTCCCCACCTGCCTCTATCTATCTCACGGCGCCGTATACGCGCCGTACGAAAATTATTCGCGAGATACTGATTTAGGGCGCGGACGACGCGTGTGCGCACTGACGTTCCGGCGTCTGCGTTAGCGTCAGCGTTAAAGTTAACGTTAACGTGAAGCGACACCCTCGCGTCGACATGCTTGCGAACATAGATACACACATATACACGTGTAAATACATGGAACGCTTCCGTAACTTTTCCCGGAAATCCTTAGCGACTCGCAGAGAGAGAGCTACCCGCCGGTACACGCGGATCGTTGTGCGCGCGCGTGAGTGCGCGTTTGTACATACCCGCAGGAATGATGTGAAATATGCAGGCATTCTTCTGCTGGCCGGCCGTGTTGCTCGCCCAGCAGAGCACGGTGCCGTAGTCCATTTCCGTGACCGGTCGGTATGTGAGGACGCTCTGGGTGTGTCTGGTCGAGTTCTTGTAGCGCGCTTGCGGCACGTCGACCATCTCCTCGGTATTGTTGAAGGCCCAGCGGAAGCTCTCCGGCGGTGGATATGCCTCGACCCGGCATATCACGCGAGCGTCCTCGTGCCTCGCCACCCCGTAGATCCGCTTCTGCTCCGGCACGCAGATCGGTTTGTCTGCGGAAACGATGGGGGGGAAAAGTAGTAGAAAGAGCGCAGATGAAGTTAAAAGAAAATATCGAGGTGAATGAAGCCGACGACTCTTGGTTTCCGGCGACGATAGCGCGCGATAACTCCGTCATTAATTAAGGAGATTCTTCATTGATGGCCATATTTATAGTGACGCATCACGGGAGCCTCTCATCAAATTTTACTATTTGACAAGCCAAATTTTTTTCCTATATATTTATTTCACTAACTAAATGCTCGCACATGTGTAAATTTATAATTAAATATCTCGGAAACGAAACGAATAAGGATTATTGGACTTTCTGTTGCGCATTGTTAGTTTGATTAAATTTTGTATCATGTATATATTACAAATTTATTTTATATGTGATCAAATGCTAGGTCCTCCCTAAGATACGTAAATTGCGCACGTTAATACGTCAGCGGATCGCGCGTCCCCGGAAGGAAGTACGTCGAAACGGGCAGAGGTGCAAATTCTCTCGAATAAAATTCACTCTTTCTCTCTCTCTCTCTCTCTCTCTCTTTTTCCGCCTCTGTTCGCGTGTCGTTTGACGAGCGAGCGCGTGCGTACGTTGGCACGCGGAACATCGCTTAAATCGCGAATTTCAACGTCAGAATGAAATATCGAGAAAGAAGAAGGCCGGCTGACGCGTGTCACCGGGCGCACTGCAACTGAGTTAATTAATAATAAACGTTCTACGCGCCAGTTCGCGATCCGCGGAAAATGAGCGGCAAGAATAAAAAAGGAACCAGCTGATTTTCGCGTAATACACGGCGATGAGAGAAGCCGCGCGCGAATCGGCACCGGAGGAGTTTACGCGCATTTATTAAAAGTGCGGGGGGGGGGGGTGCGACGCATGAAGTGGAATGACCACCGCCCGGCTGGCTTTCCGAGGGAAGATCGATGGGCATTATTCGCTCGCTCGCTTGAATAGTTTTCCCATTTTTCGCGGCGGAGTGGGTAAACGAAGGCCGGGGGTATGGGGGAATCGGAGTTCGCCGGTTCGGAATAATTTGTTGGTTCGCCGTAGATCGTCCTATTTTTCTTCCGCTACTCTCCCCCAACCCAGCGCCACGCCTCCGCCTCAGCCCCGCGAGCCCTTTGCCCTTTCAACGTGTTTTTAATGAATAATCATGCCGACATTTTGATATTCGACGTTTATTCACGAATATCTCCCCGAAGCCGGGCCGTAAGCCGGGCGACCAATTACCAGTAGGGGACCAGTATGGGCGGAAAGAGCGCGTTTTCAAAAGCCACCTTCTCCGCAGGCGCTTAACACAACGTCGCTGTTTAAATGTCACTCATCAGTCACGCAGCGCTCTGTCGTTTGCGTCGTATTATGTTGAAATATTCGCGACGTCGAGCCGGCGCTTTGACGAGCGAAATAATTGCGGGGATCCGGCTCGGAAAACAAGGTAATCGAGGTCTCGGTTCGCGACAAAGAGAGACCGGAGCGAGGAGGTAGGCGGCATTATTTTCAGGGAACCGCGGACGGAACGGGGGGAGGGAGGTCGCGAGCGGCCGCCACCGAACGACGGATCTATGTGGATCTACGCGGGGAAGGGTTTTTCTGTTAAACGAAGTGCTCCTTCGCACTCGTCTCGTAGCACCGAGTCGACATTTTAATGCTACTCTGACGTCTTTATGGATAGTTTGCGCTTACTTAGACGACGTGTAAATCGATAACAATATACTCGGACGATACGCTTTTTAACTTGTTTCTTGAACTTTCAATTTTATGGATTGAATTTTAATGCGACATTCAATAAACTATTTTAACACTAAAACAAAGAGAACGGGATTTTTTGTCGGTGTTGCTGAGTGCTGCGCTTGAACATCGCCGGTTATGAGGATCTTCCGGGTACTCGTTTTCGGCATTTTTTTTTTTTTTTTTTTTTTTNAAGATTACCGTCATTTGTTTGTACAAGCCACCGGCTCTTGGCGAAATTTTAATTTGGCCGAATGTTCGCGCGTGCGCGCGATCTTTTCTCGTTGGTTTACGTCAATATTGACACATTTTGCACAATTTTGTTGCTTTTTGCATATCTCTGTTTTTTAACTGACGTTAAACTTGAAAAAAAAGTGTTTCAATTTTCGCTCGAAGATCGCTCGAAACTTCAACCACATTGTTGAATACAGGGGCGAAATTTTGACTCGGTGGATGCGCCAAGTCTCGCACGCTGTCGGTGCTTGGCATCTCGCGACGAGAGAGACACTCTCCAAACGTATTTTATCGCGGCGATCTCTCCACCGCGTCGGGACACTCACACATGATCTTGAGCTCCACGATGTTGCTGTAGCCGTCGCCCTCGACGTTGCTGGCGACGCAGGTGTAATTTCCGGCCTGCGACCGATTCACCTCTCGCAGAGCCAGCCCGTACTGCTGGACTATCACGCCGTTCTTCGCGTTATTCTGAATCACGTTCCCCTGAAACAACGTTTCGCGCATTCGCGATTAGATCGGCGCGCACTCTCGTTCTGCGGTTCTCTGTGCATTCGCCCTTCTCTCTCCCTCTCTTTCTCTCTCTCTCTCTCTCTTGTTACTTCTAATCTATATGGTAATGCGCGTCTCTCGATTGTCGTCGTCGTCGTCGTCGAAAATTCGTAAATTTCACGCCGACCTACTCGCGAATCGTAATCGTCCCGATGGGGCGATTATCGAATCCGCTGGGGGAGGCGGAAAGAGACAGAGAGATAGAGACGAGAAGACGACGCGAGAGCGACACGATCTCGCGGTCGATGAACGGAACGGTTTGCAACGTCTCGGTCGCGGTGAAAATTTGCGCTCGAGCTGCTGGAAATAGCCGCGCGATAAGTGCTTTTGTTCGGCGCCGTGTGCGGGGGGTTTTACTTAATTAAATGGGATTTTATTAGTGTCTGGTTAATTAACTGCCATATCAATCACGACGTCGCACCGTAGAGTCGGACACTTCGTGTATTTACACGAAACATTTATAAACGTCGCGTCATAATAACGTATAGTATTAAACAATACATAATGAGACGTCGGTAGGTAGGTAGGTAGGTTGGTTAGTTGGTTGGTTGGTCGGTTGGTTGGTTTACTAGGTTGATAGGTAGATAAGATGCGAAACGCGAATAAACGCTCGGTTGTCGGCGAGATGTTGCAGAGAAGCGTCGCGTAATGAGATCTACGAACACGCTGTGGACGGAAAAAGTCACGTCGACGAGAAATACCGCGCTGCGTACCTTCCGAGGTACTTATTTTCGAAAGTTGAGTCCACGTGCTCGCGTTACACGCGATGAGCCGCTACTCTCTCTCTCTCTCTCTTTGGTGCATAAAATGTAAATTTAATTAAAATAGAAATTTAAAAGACGAAACTGATCTCTCACACGAGGGAAAGCGAATCTCGGGATCATATTAGGAGGATTTATCTCGCGCGGTTTTCTTCTTACGTTCGCGCGCGCCGCGAAAACGGACGCGTTGTTGCCGCACAGCGCTCCGCAAGTTGGAGTAATATTTAGGGAGATAGCGGCACGCGCGCGTAAGCCGCGCGGAAAGTTTGTTTCCTATTTGTCGGTTTCGACCTGCAATGGCCATTACTCGGCGGGAGAACCGCGCGAGTTTCGGGCGAGTCGGAACTATCCCGGCCGTTCGGATATATATCACGCGAGAAAATCCAGGAGGCCATTGTTCAAATTCAAGCCTGAGCTTCCACCCCCCCCCCTCCCACACTCGATTCGAATATGCACATTTTTGCCCCGCGAATCCATCCGTTACACCGAAGTTTCGCCGCGTCGGCCGGCTCTTCGACTGCGTGTTATTCGTGTCGCTCGACATTTTCCCCGCTCACACACACGCACACGTGTGGAGGAAACGAATGCGTTTCCGGGATACTATCTCTCGCTCCCCCCCCCTCTACATTACATCCACGCGACGATCCTCGAACGATACTCACGTTGTGCTTCCACACGACCTTGTAGGCGCCCGGGTTCGCGCGGACCTCGCACTCGAAGTACACGTCGTCGCCCTCCTCGATGTCGTCCGGATTCATGTTGCTGCCGAGATGCAGCTTGAGGATCGGCACGACTGTAACGAGAAGAGGCACGCGATTATTATTCGCCTCGTCATGTTCCGCGGGAGGAGGACTTCCTGGCCGCGGCTGAATAAATCGAGCCGCTGCCGGACGTTCCATTTTGGCTCCCGTCGTTGACGTCTCGTTATTGTGATTACATTCGCGTTTGCACGGCCGTAATCTATATCGACGGCCTTGTTTCGGCCTGCCAGGCTTTTAACCCATTTACCACGCTCGATATACACACGAGAGCGCAGGGGGCGCGCCGGCACGACATGGCATGGCTCATGTATGCGTGTGCACGTGCAGCGAGCGCGTTGACGTATGCCGCGCACGCGGATTTCCCGACGTGTCGATTGCGCGAAAGCTGACACACGCGCGACGCGCGCTTATGAGTTAAAGCTCGACGAATTAGCGTCAATTCGTTTTTGCACGGCCGAACGACTGCGCGACGGGGGACGCGCTTTTGTCAAGTGGGAATCCGATGCTGAGCTTCCTCCTAAGGGGGAAGTTCGCCGCCGGTTGTTCGCCGGTCAGGGGAGGAGAACGGGTTTCCGGGGAAATATTTGAGGAATTTGATCCTGAGACGGATTTTTACTCGCAAAATATTTTACTCGGATCAAATAAATATTACTCGATCGAAATAGAAATTTGCTAAGGAATATTGGAGTAATGACTCATTGGAATCTAGCACTTTTTTCTCCGTGTAATTTCCATTTCACATCTTTTTAATTCATATCCGCAGACTCTGATCAAATAACGCGACCCATTAGCGGGAAACAGCGATCGGGAGAAAAAGAAACACGGGGAATCTCCCGAGATTTACAGCGCGCGTTCGAGTGAAACTTTCGCCGGGATAAGGAAGGGACGTTCGCGAGAGCGATTTCACGTTCGGCGGAATCATTTACTTTCGCCGTCTCCGATATCGTCCAGCACGCAGGGGAGAGAATAAAAATAAAAAGATACGAGTGGCTATTCGTTTATCATACACACGTAGAAATATCCCTTACTCGTTTTTTTTATCGTACAACCGGCATAAAAGAGAACGAAACCGGCGGTCGCACGTTATTATCGCGTAAATACTCGTCGGATCGAGCGCCGCTTCGACCACGCGCGCAACACCGGCGCGCGCGTTAATGAATAATGATATTATCGATAATAATGCCGGGGCGTATCCGCGTATCACGTCGTTACTAGCGTGTAAACTTGCGGTCCACCTCGGCCGCGGGATGCGTTCCTCGTCTCGATTTTTTGCGCACGTCCAACAGATTACACTTTCGTGTAATATCTCGCGAGAACAAAATATCATCGCGATATCGAAAACAGAAATTCTGAGGGATTTTTTTTCCTCCGGCTTGAGTAGACACTCTATCGGCTACTCACAGAAAACGTTGAGCTTCCACGTGTCCTCAGCAATGCCTCGTTGGACCTTGGTATTCTCGGCCCTGCACGTGACAATTTTGTCATGGTGATCCAGAGTCGGCAGAATCGTCAAGGTGGAACTCGTCATGTTGCCATCCGGCGACACCTGCGACAGTCGGGCGCAAAACTCCCTTTAGCGATCATTAACTCACGATTAACGGGCAAGTGAATATATCCCGTGCGCGTGTAATTCGAAGCGTAAGCTTCCCAGGATTACGTTCGACTATTAATTTTGCGTTATATTAAATTTTTCTACATCAGACACCTCTCCATCTCCCTCCCTCGAATATCTCTTTCTCCTCCTCGCTCTGTCTCCCTATGCGCGCGAGTATCGGATTTATATAAAATTACTAACCCATGATCGATATTGAAATTATAATTACGCGTTACATATATTTTAATGTGCCTTATATTCCGCGCCCGTTAATTGCTTTACCGATATATGCGATACACATATGTCTGTATGTGTGCCTTTTTTTTCTCTCGTTTCATTGCACACCTATATTAAAGTGTGCATCGCGCGGGAGTAATTAAATCACGCGCGCCGCAATATTGGCTATACTTAACACGAAAATACTATCCCTTTGTTAATCGTAATATAGCGATAAAACGCACAGTCGGACTACGACAGTTGTATCCCATTATCAGTCGCTACCTCTTTCCTCTCCGCTCGATATCAACATTTCCACAGTTATTATTCCGTTCGTATCGGTACACGTATATTAATTCGCGGGCGTTTCATTAAAGTTCCGTTGCCGCGGGGATATTAAGCCCGGGGCGCGTCGCTAACGTTAACGCCGATGCCTACGCTGCGCGTTGGGGATTTTAGCGGCGGTTCTTTAAAGAGCCGATTATGGCGAGAGATCGTCGCGATTAAGCCGGGATTATAGTAATCATAGCAGATTATAGTAATTAAGCTGAACTATTGCGAGAGCTTCGTTTCGCGCTTCTAAGTCGCGTTTTTCAACGGACTTTTACGCGGCTTTCGCCGAAAGCGTGCACGGGGCCCCCGGAAGGGTGGTGGTTCTGCCGGTGTTGGTAAGAGCCACGGAATAATTATCCGACTCGTGTGCGCGCGAGGCAGCGCGTTTGTGAGCTAAGGGCTGGAGTATCGGGACGGGGGAGGCAGGAGGGCTTATAAGCCAAGCGTTAATCCGGCGATAAGTCTTAATGACCGGACGAGTCAGTCCAGGAGGCGTTTATCATCCACCTTTGCAGGTGGTGTAATAGGACCCGGCTTTCACGTGAGTGCTTCACCCTGCTCGCGAGTGCTACGGGCAACTTTAATGCGCACGAAACCGCGCGGGTACGTCGCGCTCCTGTTCTGTATTTACGCAAATGCACCGCCGTTGCCGAGAGAGAGAGAGAGAGAGGGAGGGAGAGCTGGTTGTTGGGCTGTCTGAGAAAACATGTAATTATCAAACGCGCGCACGACCACTCCTCCCCCACCCGGACGAGATCTTGACGCGAGGATTCGCGTATCCGCCGCACCATTAAAAGTATTAAAACTGCAAGCCCGCGTGCGGAGCTCCCCGAAGAGCGTGACGAACGCGTGCCACGTGTCGTGCTTTTTTTTCTTTTGTTTTTTTTTTTTCCTTCGAAAAGAGACACGCGACATTTCCGGCCTTTGCGGCCCAGGTGGGCGGACAGTGACGCGTTGGATTCGTAATGCGGGAGAAATGAGTGTCCTCGCGAATCGATAGACCACGAGACGATAGCCCGGGGGTAGTAGTCCCGGGCGGAAAAGCTCGGAGGACGAGTCCGTCGTGCGAGGCTTCAGCGCCGGCCGGGAGAGATAAGACGACGGGGACGGCGGCTATTTCGGTGGTATTTTCTCGCCCCCGATAAGACATCGATACTCGGCGGCAGATTGCCGGCGAAGGGCTCGAAACTTTTGGCCGGCGGTGTACGCAGAGCGCGGAACGACAGAGCCCAGAACGAAATTGGCTCGAAATTCGTGCGGCGGTCATAAATCGGCGAAGTCGAATCACCCGTTGCCAACTATACTGTCCACAATCCCTCCCTCTCTCTTTTCCGTGCGACCCCCTTCGCGGCCCCTCGCCACCCTTTTCCGCCTTCCACCCGCCGGTCTCTCCCGCTCTCGTCCCGCTCTCACACCACGGCCGCCATACCTCGATATGTCTCTACCGGTACGAACTTCATTCGACACCGCGATATTATGACGTATAACGCGAGATAGCGCGAATGCGTCAGAACTGGTGTACGCCGCCTGGACTGTCCGTTCGGCACCCGGCAACAACAACAACGTGATCGTTATTTGCGGCGGAAAATATCGGCTCTTTGAATCTCCGGCACGCTAGCGCGGATCATCGTCGATCACGGCCACGTGAGACCGATCGAACCGACGAATCGTTATTGCAAAATGCGCGCGAGCGCCGAGTGTAACTGGACTCTCGCAGCTAGGTGCTCTCATTTTTCATTCGGCAAGTTTTACTGCATCTCGATTATGCGCGGAAATAGCCAGCGAAAGAGAGAGAGAGAGAGAGAGAGAGAGAGGGAGCGAGTTGAGACTATATAAAATTTCGGCGAATGGAGATTACGCGTGTCTCTTTATCGATTTCCCCTTTATATCTCTCGTTTACTGTTTATCGCGAATTTCCACGCGCGAGTGATCCGCCTTGGCGATTTGATCCTTCCAGCTGGTCTGATTGTTCTCGTCGGAGTGAAAAATCACTCGGAATCGGCGAGAGGATCCGCGGCTGCGAGGTGGCCGTGATAACACACGCGATGTTTGTAATGAACATTTATATCGGCGAGCGCGATCGCGGGTTATCACGCGAATTCGATAACGAACCTCCGGTCTCCATATTAATGCTGTTTGCATCTCGTTCCCCCTCTCTCTCTGCCGCCCTCCCTTGACGTTCGGATCTGTCATGGAACTATCGACAAGTCGTCAGATGACGGATGGTATCTGTCGCTTCATAGTTATCCGCGTACTACGCGTGGCTACATTAGGAGGGTTAACTTCATCCTGCTCTTGGCTTGAACAGGCCTGCGCGGCGTCAGCCGCGCCGAATTCTCATCGATCATCGTTCGATCCCCACCCGATTAATTGAAGCGGAAGAAGCGAAATTCGAGTAAACCGGAAAATATGCTCGATCTCAGAGAACTTTATATATGAAATACGTATAATCATGAAATTTATGAGAAATATTGTGAAATATACAAAATGTGCTAAAATGAAAGAAGATTAAATTTTAAAATATTACTCCGAGAGAACAATATATAGACATTAAATAGCCAATACATAGGAGCTTAAGCACAGTTGTTTTAATGCAATATTTAATATTAATATTATTGTTATTATTCTGTAATAGGGCGAAGATATGCATTGTGTATCGCGAACGTACGAATTTTCACGTTGAACGAAGCGCGATTACCGAAAGGACAGTTTATTCAAGAATCTCATTCCTTTTAAACGAATCTATCAATCGTTTCTGTCAAATGGCAAAGAGAGTCAATTCGCGCGAATTTTCACGACGACCGATTTAATTTTGCGCTTATGAGTCCGCGAGTGGCCGGGCCCCTTTAACATTCTCGCTATAGCGCCGTCGGAGGACGCGGGAAAGAGAAAGAAGGAGAGAGAGAGAGAGAGGGGGGGGGGGGGCATCNGAGCATCGTGTACACCGAGATTCGAAATGCAATTTGGGGGCGGCGGGTCAAAGAATCACGTTTCAGGAAGAGTTGGCCGCGGAAACGAGCAAGACGGGCGTAGATCGATGGTACGCCGGAGTTCGAGTACGTAACAGGAGTTTCCTCGTCGGCCGGATCAAAGGGCGAGAGGGGAGGGTCGGAGGGGCGCGGCACGCGAGACGAAGACGAGACGTCGGTGGGCCGCGGTGAACGGAGCGAGAGCGAGAGATCACGAAAGCATCGCCTCTATCCGGTAATTGCGCCATGGCGTGTCAGAGGGGGAGCTTAATGGCAACGATGCAAATACCGATACCGACGCTAATGCCAGTGATTTCGCGGCGAGCGATCGAAGGCAGGAGCGCCGCGCGCATCTCTACGTATCTCGCCCGAAGCGAGAACTTTTTTCGGGGACAGGTGAGAGAGCCCCCCTCGTGAGCAGCCCCGACGCGATCCGCTTTTCTCTTTCTCTCGGCGGAATGACCCTTTTTCCTCCTATCCTCAGCAGCGATCCTTCCGGATCGTTCGCGGCAACACGGGCGATCCGGGACGCGACGTGTTCTCGCCGGGCGTTAAATCATTCCGCGGCGGCAGGTTGGCGTGACTCGTCCCTGGCACGGGGGTAAAAGAACGGCCCCGCCGCCGAATAAGAATTTCGTACGTACGAGATGTACGCGCGAGATAGAGCCCGAAACGAGGAGAGATCGGCGCGCGGTGTAACGCGATCAAGAGGAGGAGGAGGGAGAGGAGGAGGTGATAATGGAGATCGATCGTCTCGCGGTAACATCGATGATGCGGTTAACGCGCGTTGTTGGACGGCGCGGGGAACGCCGGCGAATTTTATTTCGAGGGCTGCTTCTCTTCCTTTCGGCGCAGGTACGCGTCAGCCACCCCATCTAATTAACCGATTTTCTTGCTTTGAACTTATTCGTTATAAATTGTCCTACAACGTGCATTAATCAGATGAAAGTATGAACGTAATAAAGCATGGAGTCGGATCCGACCTCAGCCTTATCATCGGAGGGTTGAAGGAAGAAATTGTTGAAATCAGTTAGGTACAGTATTAGACTGGCGACCGATTGTTGCCCAAAACAGAGTGCACGGGAGGAAAGTTTGGTTGCATTAGCCAGATTTGTTTTTCGCGCGTCTCGACCTCATCGTTCCATCCATCCAATTCGCGCGCGCGAGTGTCGCGTTTTCGGCACTCGAAACCGATCGCTCGAAACCGGAGGAGAAATGCGAAGCGGTGCTCGTTGCGCGAGCGAGAATCAAGAAGAGAAAGATCGTCAACTTTTTCGACGGGCGGATTTTCCAAAACGTTTCGGGGAAAGGGATCGATCATTTTTCGCCCGTTCCCGGTGGAGAATATCTCTCCCTCGCGACGCCCGATCGGCGTCGTCAGTCGCAGACACCGCCACTTACCTTCTCCGTGTGATTGGTGAGCTTGTTGCCGTCCATGTACCAGGACAACTTGGCGGGCGGCCTCGAGCCGACCGTCATGCAGTTGATGTCGTACTTGCGATTCGCGCTGAGGGGCGCGTGCTCGCTGCTGAGTATCGTCACGCTCAACGGTTTCACTGGAACATAAGCAGAGAGAGAGGGTGGAATCGTAAGGGTGAATCTGGAGGCGGGTGTGGGCTCGGTTGCAGTGTTGATGATCAAAAAGCGCGAGCAAGAATCGCGGCAGATGCGGAGTTGCGGCGCTTAGAGTGGCCGCGGACTTGCGCCAGGGCGCTCGTCCGTCCGTCCGCCTGCTCCCTAATGCGTTTTAAACGAGTGGTACCGCTGCAGTTACCACCCCGAACGTATTGCCGCAAAACCTACATCCTGATAGCTTGGGGGGGAAGGGAGGGTGAGGGCGCGCGTTCGGGCGCCGCGCCGCGCCTCTCGCAGATTAAGGCTGGTCGGTCGCGGCGCGTGTGGCGTTTCACGTTGATTAATTGAAGGTGGTATTGAATAGTGCGAACAAAATGGAGTTAAGCATCAATCTTTGGCCTAATCTCGGGCTGTTAGGCGGACAAGCGTAATTGCCCGCGCGCGATAACAATGCTATCGCCGTCGTCGCAGCGTCGTCGTGACCTCTTCGTATCAGCGACCCCTTTTCATGGCTTGAGTCTTGAAAGAGAGTCTTGTCGATCGCACGAGAACCTCACGGGCGAAGCATGTATTCTCGTGGTTTGCCAGGCATTAAATCGCTCGTCGCGATTTAAACGACGGTATTGGCACATTGACGACGACGTCGAGGTCGGGGGTGAAAGTGCCGATATATTAGTCGTTCGATTCAACCGCGAAATAAGTCCCGGCGCGTACTCACACACACACCCGAGCCGGCGTTCCGTCGAATTTAATCGGCAACGGCTCGGCAAAGGAACGTCTTTCTTCGGCGGCGAGAAAGTATGCGCGCGCGCGCGATGAAGAGCTCGCTCAAAAGGTAGACAGAGACGGAGGTAGAGAGGCGGCTGCTGAAGGCCGGAGGAGGCAGAGGAGAGATTTTTCATTCAAGCCGCACCACGCCCACGGAGTCTGGAATTAAACTTTCAGTACGCCGAACTTTTGACTCCAATGAAAAATTTTCCGCTCTTCCTTCCTTCCTGCCAGCCTGTCTGCCTGCTTTCCTTTCGCCTTGCGCGCGTCCACCATTACCCTTCACCTTCGTCCTACCTTCGTCTACCGGCGGCGGCCGTGCGTTCAATCGGCATTGGCGCTAAAAGCATGATTACCAGCGTAAGCCGGGCGTTCTCCTCTCCTCTCTTCGGCCCCGCGTCTCTCTGTACAATCGCGTTGCATATTCGCATCACGCGATCCCGCGCTCGCGCGGCAAACGCGCGCGCCCGACGTAATTCCTTCTTAAACACTATTCAATATTCTGACTCTTGACTCCGCCGCAATATCGTTGAACGTGATTCGCAAGGGGCTCTTTGAACGAGCCGCTCGCCGCCAAGTCTCACGATCCTCGCCTCCCCATCTAATAGGTTGTTCTTTTTCTTTTATCGGCGAAGAGGAACGAGAGGACGGAGGAAGGAAGAGAGTCGATTTTCAGTTTTTGTTGATTCGAGAGATTAGCATTTTTCCTCTCTTTTAGTCCCGTCCCGCCGGCGCGCTCGTTACACGAGGCCGACCCCCCCCCCCCCTTCCCCCTCGGTCACTTTTTTCTCGTGTTTATTATTTCGTTATTAGGAATAAAGCAACGTGTACGTTTTTTGTTTCCTCGTCGTTACGTGAGTGGACTAGGGGAGACGTGACCGGGAGCAACATTCTTCTCACGTTGTATAAACGTTCGTCAGCTTTTTCGCGAGTTGTATTGTATGTACGTATGTATGTATCCATCCACGTATGTACGTGCCGGCCGACGGACGGTCATGACGAATAGGGGTCGTGCGAAAAAGTGCGTTGGTGTCCATTAGATGACCGCCGAGTGCCCATCGTGCATGCGAATGCATCGCGCGGTCACACCGATGGTCTAATGGCTGTCTGATGGATGATGCGCGTTTTGCGCGAGCCGGATTTATACAAATGTTTCTCCCTCGCGCGGATTTCGCACCGATGCCCTCTCTCATTCGTTGCGAATTTCGTAATTAATAATATAATACGCATGAACGGCGCTGGAACGTTACCTCTTTGTTCCTCGCTTTTCGATATCTTCCTCCCCCCCCCTCCCCCCTCTATCGCGAAACATCGTTTCGCATTTGTCCGTGAAGGACGTCGGGAATTGTTTGTTGAATTCAATAATTAAACACACACGCACACAGAATGGTTATTTATACTGATTAAACGCGCGGATTTCGCATCGGACTGATTATTTTAATATCGCGCGCGCGCGCGCGTACAACCGGGGAATTTTATTTCGCGAATGTATTTTTCGAGCGTGTTAGAGTTGATGCCGGGCGTAACGGGGAAGCGCGCTTAATTGCTCCCCTATTACCGCATTGATTCTGTGCGATTTTATTTTGGTCTCTCCCCCCCCCCTCCCGCCCTCCCTCTTTCGCCGGGGGGGATTCTCTGNTCTTTCGCCGGGAGGAATTCTCTGCGACGGAATAATCCGTGTCTTCGGGGGAAACGGAGACGACGATCCGACGACGACGATTTTCTGTGTGCACGTAGCCGCCGTTTCGCCTCATTAAATAAAATTCTAATTGCAGCTCGTTGAGGAAGAAAATGAACTGTCGCAAGAAACCGATAATACGACGACGTGTATCGGTAATAAAAGGGGGAGATTGGGCTGGGTCGGAGAACGCGATTTACCCGATATTAGAGAATGTAACTCCGCTCTTGGTAATTACCATTTCCCTGCGAAAACGCGGAAACGCGCGATACCGTCTCGCGTGTGCGGCTGCTTAGACAAACGAGCTGTGAATAACGTTAATGAAGAATATGAATTGGCGTCAAATACGGCCGGTTCTTTCGGATCACCGACGATCGGCGAAGGGATTCGATACGCTCCGGATAAGAGGGGAGGGCGCGCGGGAACGCTGGAATAAAAACGATACTAACGAGATCGCGGTGCAAAAAGGGGTTAAAGAGGAAGGGTTGGAGAATGGCGAGGAAGAAAGAGAGAGAGAGAGAGAGAGGATGGTAAAGAGATAAAGAGAGTCGAAGGTGAGCGAGGGAGAGAGGGAGAGAAAGAGAGAGAGAGAGAGAGAGAACGGGTGAGTAAGTAACGAACGAGCGGACGAGGTTGAACTTATTGCTATCGCGAATTGAAAATACGTCCGTGCTTAATCCGCCGGGGCTTACGGTCGCGTTTGCATATCCCGGCTGCCTACTTTCACCGGATATCCCGCAGCTACCGTCGGTCGGGTTTTTGGCGAAGCCACCGCCAGAGCCGGGGTCCGGTCCCGCGCTCTGTGTTTATTCGTATTCGCTTTATTACGTTCCCCCGGATTAATGCGAAGTTGCAAACAAAAAGATTGTAGGTATTAAATGTACCGGAGCAGGCGCACGCACCGAAAAACCGAGAGAGCTCCCGTATCCGGGCGAATAATGTTGCGTAGATGGAGCCGAAACGAAAAGCGCGGCGGAATAGAGCGACTCTCCTCCTCTCTGGTGGTGTGCGTTTGCCGCGCGACGCCGCAGCGCTCGACAAACGCCGGCGCTTTTTACCGCATCGCGAAAAATGCAAAACGATCCCCCCCCCTCCCCCCTTTAATGCGAGAGCCGCGGCCTGGCAACACCATGTGTCATCCCGGACAGGTAGCTGTCCTAACGTGACACACTGTGAAAGATACACGTAAAAATGCTCGCGCTCAGCGTGTCTTTCAAACGCCGTCATTGAGTCGTGCCAACACACATGGAGCCGGCAAGTATCCGCGCGAATCGCTGTGAGATACATTTGAAAGGCACAATTCTCATTGTCCCCGCGAGACATCGCGCTATGCCACGTGGAAGTATCGTAGTTCGAAGCGCGGGTGACGAGGTAAAATCGCGAGGTGTAGGTAGAAATGCATGCCGTTTTACTCCTCGGTTACTGGACGGAAGTTAATAAACTGGTAGTAACTAGTAGTAAATCAGAAGTTAATAAACTAGTCCGGTAACTGTTAAAAAGAGTGCATGAGACTTCCACTGAAGGAGATGGATTCTTGTTTTCGATGAGAGAATATAGGGGAATGGCGAGAAGGAGAACTGGAATATTTAGCAAATGATAATAATTGATACCGAAAGACTCTGTGTTTTGTTTCCTTTTTCTCTCTCTCTCTCTCTCTCTTTGTATATCTCTTCCTCTGTCCCGTAGTTTCTTAAACGAGCCGCCGTTAGTTTCTTAAGGAAGCCGTTACCGTTTTATTATTACGCGAAATTTACACGAGCATCGGCCGGCGGCGCCGTAGGGCGTAATTAGCGTCGAAGTTTGCGGAATCGCAATATTACATTGTGCGCATCGGCGTTCTAATAAGTAACTCCCAGCAACGCGCGCCATGTAAATTTGTTGGCCGACTCTGGTACATTAGTAGTAACGGACGGCGGGGCCGCTAATGAGTAGGCGAGGCGGACTGGAGCGTGGACGCTGTTTGAATAGAGTGGAAGACGAAGTTAACTCGAACTGGGTGGATGAAGAGTCCGCGAAATAGCGGCAGCGCGCGGGTGCGCGAAGAGAAAGAGGAGGAGAGAAGAGCGTGATGAGAGGGGGGAGAGAGAGAGGGGGAGTCTGGCGGACAAATTAACGGCGACTCTGATTCTGTTTGCAAGGAATCGCGGCCATTGTCGAGCGAGAATTGCAGTGTAATTTCGATCGCCCTGGCCGAATTCGCGCGCTTGTCTAAAAGCCCATCCGGAGTGAACCGGGCTCTCCCGGCGACGACAAGTTCCACGAACAACGGACGCTTGCTTTTCGACGACCGGGGGGCGGCCGCGTCACGTCGGCTCGCACAAAACCTTCTCCGCGCTTTTATTTGCGTTCATTAGTAATTGTGCGTGTTATGAAACTCTATATAACGCCCTCATGCCCCTCACCCCTCGCGTCCGAGTTTCCGGGAACTTTGTTCAATGGCCGAGTTCGTAAACCAATTACTCGTTATTTCATCCGTGAAAATGATTGCGGCCGCGCGCTCGTGTAAGTTTCCACTTCCCTCCGCGTCCCCTCCAC